CAATTTCTTTTCCAAAAAGTCTTGATGATTACGCACCAATCGATTCCATCCTATTGAGCTTCCAGCCAAGCACCAGCCTACTTTGGGCTGGAAATTATTTTCTTCAACTCGATCAATAAACCGCTTTATGGACCATACTTCAACTGCTGATATTTCTTATGTCTAGCAAGTAAAAAAACGCTGATTGATATCAGCGAGCCCGTAATGTGACATGTATAGTGGTCAGCGGTTTTTTGGTGCAACAGCTGTCACTAACTTCTCAATGTGGATGTCCGCCATAACAACAATGCTCTGAAGGAGTTAAACAATTGCATTGGAGGCTTATTACATTTAGGACTAAATGTTATTACATCTAGGACTTTATTACATATAGGACCAAATGTTATTACATTTAGGACTTTATTACATTTAGGACAGTTATTACATTTAGGACTTCAACACCCCCCCTCCCACATGACTTCAACTGGACTGTAGTACACTGATATGGCTCCAACGAACATTGATGCAATGGCCGAAGACCGTTAAAAGATGTCGCACCAACACAGCTCCTAATCTATTTATCCAATAATTTTTAACTGGACAAGAAGAATATATATATATTTTGTTTCTCATCAAGAAGGTGATAAAAGATGCATGTTTATTTCACATCAAAGGAACAACATCTCTTTTAATTTGTTATCCTCTGAGAGTCCCTGTTATGAACGTTGTCTTACACCGGCCTTTGCGTCGTGCCGTCGACGTCAATGACCTGAAATTCTTCAATATCGAATTTTTTGAACAACGTTTGTCGTTTATCACCCGAGCTATTATTTCTCGAGTCAGTTGGGTCATGTCGAAAGAAAATCTGTCGCTTGTAAACTCAAAGCTGCAACCTCGTGGCTACATAAAAAAGTATTTTAACTGAGGAATATTATACGGTGTCCAAGCCGGCAAAGTCACAAAACAAGAACAAAGCTAGACAAGTAGGCAGTACTTCATGACTTCGCTGAGGCAACGTGGAACAATAACGGCGGAGTATGCTTTTTGTTTATTCTCGAAATACATAGTACTTTATGCGTAAGAAGCCGTTAGAAACTGTAATCTCAAGCAAATCACAAGAATTTCACAAAAAAATATATCTGTATATATATACATATTTAGCTGGAACTCTTGTCTACTTGACCACAGTTGAATCGTACTCCCATTTTTTCACCCTCATTAATAAGATAACTTGTTCTATACAATACATCCAAACAAATGGACGCTTGAAGCGATTGAAAATATCGAGCGAAGGGGAAACAAAGACTTTGGGAAATTTTGACTGCAGCTATTGTACTCTCCTTTTGAAAACTTCCCCTAAATTCATTCTGTCAACACCTCTTTGATGAGAAAAGAAAAGGTATATATATATTTAATTTATATTTTCAAATTAAGACGCTTTTAAAAACAGCTGTGTATATATTTATATTCATATATACGAAGTACAAAAAGCCTCTGTTTTGGTATCGTATAGTTATCTGTCAGTCTCTCGGCTCCCCCACCCTCTCCGTAAATTCATGGTTCAATGCTTGGTCAAGGATTGGGAAAGCAATACGCGTCATGCTCTATGATGGCTGATGTAGTTGTCGAAGGATCCGGTTTCCTCTAATTTGCTCTTTACTCAAACTGAACAATTGCCGAAAGTACTAGTCAGCTTTAGATAAGCTAAGGAAGCAACCTTTACGAATGAATGAAGCGAAATGCATTTTGCTGAGAGGCTGCTTGAACTGCGATACACATATAGCCATCGGCTTGTGCTTTACTGTTAAAATTAGCTATCTTTGTATGGAAAAAATTCAATTATCATTTATATTGAGAAGGCATCCTACATTTTGTTCTCACTGAAATAAGTCACTAATAAAAGGTTACACACAAAAAAAACCATGCAAATATGCGATCTCGTAACTGGGTCCACTGGGACAGTTTTCTTTCTTATCGATAACTCAACCTAATGGTTTTTCTTCTGTCTGGGCCGGGTGATTAATTAATGTTCTTAAGAGGAGCTGAACGAAAATTCGTTAAAGAGCTCTTAAACAGCCGGATACATCTTGCATCAACTGCCCCCAAGTACCTATGAAAATTACTGTGAAAAATCATAAGTTTATAGGTGGAGGTGTTGTAAGCAAGAAGGAAACCGCAGCGACCGGGATTTTCATACTGCTCTTTCTTCGGTGTTGTTCAGAGGAAACATGCAGAATAACATGCGCGCACCCCAATTCAATACCTCAATAGCGCAAGATAATACAGCTTAATAAAGCAAAATATTCATCCTTAATATTAAAATGATTCCGTCGAAATGTAGACAATTTAATATAAAAATATACTGCTTGAATTCAACAAAGGCTGTGTTCTTGTGGCGAATTTACATTGTCAGTGCGATGTGTTAGAATGATGTCGGCGGTCGGGTGTAAGTTCGCCTCAGGGATGATGTGATAAAAAGATATCTATTTCTGTTCAGTCAAACACTGTAGACATTCAGGTGCCCTTCGGAGTTGTTATCTTAATCTGAGAAATAAAAGGTAAACAAACTCTTCTTAGAGGACTGATCGAACCAGCTGCTTGGACTGTGTTGCACATATATTGGTGATGCTCTATCAGTAGAGTAATCTGTTTTTACAAACTCTTCAAGGAACAAAATTTAACTTTTATGCATAAACAGTAAAGAACACGTCATCACCACCAGGTGGGAGGCGGAGAATTGGGGGGGGGGGGGGTGGACGGGGATGGGGGGCGGGGAATTCTTACGGTTACACAGACAAGTTCTATGTAAATATCACTTCCCGTAATTGGGTCCACTTGATCGGTTGTGTTTATAGGTTAAACCAACAGAGCTGCAAAACGTGCTTATGCGAAATTCCATATACAAGATAAACCTATCGAACAATTTGAGCCCTCAGGATGTGAGAAGGTAAGAAGCTTCAAGTGATAAGTTTAAACCTCACGTAGTATATTACAAGCTTTAGAACATCTGAGAATCAAGATCAGCGTTTACGAGAATTCGTTACATGATTCAGTGAATGAAACTCACGCGGGTTCACTTGCAGTAGCCATATTTGTTTCCGGATAAAAAAAATGAAAACCCAACTGAAAATGTTCCCAGAAGAAACTGCATCCGATAAATTTGTTCACACGGAACAAAAAAATCATTGGTCCATGCACGAAACTATCACAAAATTTCATGTCACACGCCTAGTCAACCAGTCGAGAATTCTCCCCTTTGCATGAATGAAAAAATTCTGATATTATATCGGTGTCCAGCACACAAAAACCATCATTTATCACCAAAAATTACAAAATCCCGATGGTGGACGAGAACATGATATCAACTTGTGATATGCAAAACTAAGCAAGGAATAACAAACTGAACAAACAGGAATTATCAGCCTTATAGCTCGCAAAATTTCCTTCTTTCAGCAAACGTTAATCTTAAAAGTACTCGAGGAAAAGCGGGAAAACAACTCTTTATATTGCTTGTCTAGTTATAGAAGGAGGTTCAGATCCGGAGAGACATCTGCTTACAGGCCCGTGAGGGGAGGTGAAGTGGAACAACAGAACTGAATTCGTAGAAAAGAAGACAGCATAGGCAGCATAACTACGAATTAACGTTCGCTTTCATAAATAGTTAAATTGAATTGTAGAATGTTTGTTGTAAAAATAAACTGTTTGAATCCAAAAGAGTTTGTTTCCTGATGATCAGCACATATTGGTTACAACGTGTAATAATTTAATTTAGGCTAAAGTTTCGCTCTGACAAAGGGCTAACACTAGAAACGTCAGCTTTAAAACTCTTGAAACATATTCATTTGGGGATCTAATCGAACCAGCAGCTTGGACTACAATGCTCACACTGGATGCTGGTTTATCATTAGAAAAATGTACATCCAAAAAAACTCCGAGAAAAAAAACAAACTTCATTGTCACTAAAAAAAACTCGTTTTAAAGCCTAACGTTGCACGGACAAGTTCCATACAAACATAATTTCTCACAATCGGGTCCGCTTGCATGGGCTGTTGTGTCTACGAATTTCCATAGATAAACCTATTGTAAAGCCCTCAAGATATGGGAATTACCTGAAGGAGTAGGAAGTTAATTTAAAGATGCTGATGCGAGCCTCGATGACTTTTAGGAGAATAACTGAGAATCAAGACCAAAGAGTTAGAGAGAATTCGCTCAATGATTATGAATAAAACTCAAATTTAAGCGCGGCGACCGTATTTGAACTCAGAAAACAACTGAAATTAGATCACATAGCCTTGTCAATTATTATTTAGTCGGTAGATTCAAAGGGTCTCAAAGTGCTACCAATGTCGATGCAAGTTATTATAAAACAATTTCTTTCAAAAGGGAAATGCAATCATTTTCTGGCCACATAGGTATTTTAATAATATTAAAATACTAGTACTATTTAGTAATATTTATTACGTTGTGGTGTCATGAACGTTAAAGGAAACAGTTCTACTGCTGCCGGAAAAACTCATTAATTTTCTCCCCTATGAGCTAAATAAAGATCTCCTAAACAGCCGGATACATCTTACTTTGACTGACGCACCTCTATATATCTTCATATGCGAGAAGTTTTGCGAAAAATTATCAGTTGGCGAGTGAAGCTGGTACAAGCAAGATGAAAACTGCAGTGACCTCGATGTTGGTATTACTCCTTTATATAGTGTTGGTCGAAGGAGCGATTTGGAATCCTGTTGTTACTTCAGCGGTAAATTAGTTATCATAGAAATACCGTATGCTTAAATTTCTTCCAAAACCTGCTATAGTTGTTTTATGATCGCCCCTTGATCACTTCATTATTTTTAAATTTTAATCCTCTCTCATTGAATGTTCTGTTTGCTTCTTTTTTCTTCTTCTTGAATGAGTTCAGTTTTCGATGTAAACCATACTATCATCGATTTCAGTTTAGAGTAAACTGACTTTTATATTCAATTACTTCTCGTAAACGACGTTTCGACTAAATCATTTCTTGGGAAACTAGCTGAAGAATGCAAGGAAAAAGGCAAAAGAAATATCGACGAGGAACGACCGCAGACACTTGAAAGAGGTTAGTGCAGAAATCTGTAGCTAACAACTATTTTTAGTTTTTTTTCAAGCGTGGTTTTCTCCATTTTGGGTACTGTGGTGCATTCGTACTTGTATGCAACGAGCTACATTGTAAATGTTTTAGATGTCCTACGACTGTTTAGCCTTCAGAAGAGGCGTCATATTCTTTCGTCTTACAGGCAAGCGAAGGCCAGTAAGATTGGGGCGGGCGACTTTTCCGAAACACGCGCTCCTAGAAGCGCTCGTGTCTCACGAAGAGCGCCCGCTAATTTTGTTTATTCTGTTATGTTTCTATTTCTTGTTTAGACAACACTGGAGCTTCAGTACCGAAGAGACATCTGCTTACAGGCCCGTGAGCTGGGATGCGAAGTGGAACAACAGAAATGAAACCACGTGAATTCAAGACAGCAAAGCTTAACATAATTTAACGTTCGCCTGCTTTATTAAATCATTAAATTGAAGATAGATTGTTGTTGTAAAATAAACTTTTTAAATCCAAAAGAGATTGTGTCCTTATGATAAACATACATCGGTTACAATGTGTGAAAATAAAATCTGTGGATGATGTGATGGATAGACATTTCTTTGTTTCTTCAAACTTTGCGGACAATCAGTCTCTTTACAAGGTTTTAAACCACATCTATTGGCTACCAAAAAGTAGTTGAACCCCAATCAATTAATAAAATACCCAATAAATAAATTAATCCTGAAAAAATCGAGTGTTTACGGGACAACTTTGTTATTTCACTTATTATAGTTTACCATTTACCGCACCATAGCTGAGTAACCAAACAGTTTTGATTGGTACTTTTTCCAACGAAAGCGCGCTAAAATAATTCCGATGTGAAAAAAGGATAACAAAAACTTTTCATGCCATACATATGACAATATGATGATCGAAAAAAGAGAGGGAAGAAAAACGATAATCGAAATGGCAAGAGAAGGCTGGGCTAATTAACCCTATAACTCCTAAAAGTGATTAACATGTAACTTCTTCCAATACTGCTCATACATTATCTAGCAAACAGGTAATGAGAATGTTCAAACTTATCGCGCAGAAGTTTTTTTCTAAATTGTTTTAGATAAGTTACGAGGAAATATGTAGCTGTCAGACAGGAGAACTAAAAATGACATCTTGGTAGTAAAAGGGTTGAGGAACAAGAGATCCGAAGACATTTCGGGCATAACGTGATTTGCAGGGAACTAAATTATATATTGGAATAATAGAGATCGGTTTTATGATTAATTACTTCAGCTTCAAGGGTTTGTAAAGTCAAGGTACTATTTAATAACGATCCACCAAAGTGTAGGTGGCTAGTGGTGTAGGATGTTATCGTAACCCGGGAGAACCATTACAATTAAAACTGCCATCAGTTACACTTTCCATTTCGATTTGAAAAAACTTTCCCGGAGCAACTTTTACTTAGTAAGGCAGCGGATGACAATTTAAGTCAAGTCTCTCCCATACAAGTCTCCCGTTGTTCAGAAAATTACGTGATTAGCAAGAAAACAGTGGTTAGAAAAACTCTTCCTCTACTTCAGCAAACACATAAGAAAATTTAGAGGAGTTTTAAAGAAGTATTTCCTCAGAAGTTTTTATAGGAGAGAGAGAAAGAAATTCCCCGTTTACTTTTGAAAACATATTCCTTGAGGGCCTGATCGCACCAGCTGCTTGAACTGCGATGCACATTGGAGGGTGCTCTATTATTTGAATAATCTACATCCAAAAATGTTTCGAGGAAAAGAACTTAATTTTCGTATATACTCAGTAGGCGTCATACACTTTGTTCTCACCAAAAATAACTCACTTTAAAGCCTAACGTTACATAGGAAAGTTTCATGCAAACATCGCTACTCATAGCTTATACCCCGTTCACACCAAAGCTTAAACATGTTTAAATCTTGTTTTTTACTAAACTGGTTTTATTAAACTACCTGTTCACACCGCGGGCGCGTGTAGCCAAACATGTTTAAAACCGTGTTTAATAAAACTACCTAAATGAGGTTGTTTAACTTTCGTGTTTAACTAAACACATTAAAGATGGCGGTTGCCAAAAAAACCCGCGGAAGGATTTGGGAAAACCAGGAAACGTTATTGTTACTACAGAAGTGGGGGGACGAAAATATACAAATGAAGTTAATATCTTGTACCAGAAAGAGGCCTATATGGCAAGAAATAAGTGATTTTATTCGAGCGGCAGGCTACGAAGACCGTGATGAAGATGCCTGCAAAACAAGAGTACACACATTAGTAAGTGCGTATCGCTCCTACAAAGACGAATGTGAGAAGACCGGAAACGGGACTCCAAAGAGGAAGCCGGCGTTTTTCGACGAAGTCGATGAATTTCTCTCAAAAAAACCATGTACCAAACCGAAGGTTGTGGTAAATTCTTCAAAAATTATCATTGAGGCGGACAACGAAGAAGAAGACAATGAAAAAATTAAGAACGATGAACCAAACGAAGAGTTGCCTTCCTTCAGCGGCGGCACCAGCGTCGGCAGCAACAACAAAACAGCCGGCAAATTTCCTCAACCAAACAAGGGTGAATGTTTGACAGGTGAGCTTTGAAAACTTTCGCTGATTGGAGGGTCAGACAATAGGCCAAGAAAATGTTTCAATATCGGCGCCTACGTTGTCTGTAATCTCTAACAAAATTTCTTGATAATTTTACTTCCAAGATGAGTGGAGTTGAACAAAAATATTGAGATAAGTATTGGCTCAAACTTTAACTTCTGCCTTTAAAGATTTCTTGTATTCCTTCACAGAAAGAACAACAGATGCTGGCAAGCCATTTTTCAAACCCGCTACGAAGAAGCGGAAGGTGTCAACGACGGATGCCTTAACACAAATTGACAAGGCGTTAGAGGCATTTGTTTCCTATCAACAAGCTGCTGATAGGAGTTTTCTTGCCGCAGAGGAGGCTCGTGAAAGACGAGAAGAAGAAAGGGAGGAGAGAAGAAGGAAGGAAGACCAGGAGTTTCTGCTGAAATTGGCGCAGGTACTTCGAAAATAAAAAGTACGTGTCTTCAACAATTTAATTTGCGATCGTACCTGCGACAGTTTCAGTTGGTTTAGTTTTCGGCTTTATTTATGCTGTAAGTTGAACGATGTTTCACGAAATCTAATGGCCGATTCCCAATCGTTGGAGAAGGAGCAAGAAAAAAAAGAAAACTATATTGAACTTAACACTTAGATCATTGATGTTGACATACTCTGGTTAACTTTTCTTTACTTGAACTAATTGTCTTCTATAGTTGTCTTCAATTGAATATGCTTTTTTTTTCTTTGAGAAAATAAAAATCGTTTTTTTCCTTTAAGTGTTATTTTTAATTTTCCGGCAGAGCCTAGTTGTTCAGAGGCCGATTAACACTAACCCAGGGTTAAATTTTGATTCAGCTTCTTTATTTCTTTATTCAGGAGTCTTTTTTGGGATAATTTTCCCTATTCCTTTTAGACCATCTAATCATCAAATTGTAGACAAAAAAAAAGAAAATGGATTTCTTTTTAAATTTTCATATTTGAAATCAAATTTCACACTAACCCTGGGTTAAGTTAAGCCACCTTTGAACGCCGGCCTGGCCCAGAGTATTTAAAAAATGCTCCAGAAAATTAATGAAATAAATGAATATTTTTGTGCACAGTGGTTAGGATCTTTTGGAAAAATTGATTTAATATTTGAAATAAAGTTTTGATCCACCTTTAAAATGATGAAATTTGTTTCTGAGGTTCCATCAGTTGTTCAGAGAGAGAGGGTCATATGAATGATGTCTTTTAAGTCTCCTTGATAAATTTACAACAGAGAGCTCTGTGTGTTTGTTTGCTTAATTATTCTTTCTTGTAAGGGACTAACCAAAAAAGTCTGGTGTATAATTACACAGTCACTTGCAATGGAACAAGAGCAAAAAGTTAGTGAATTAAATTAGTTTTGCTGACATCAATGCCAGCTGAGGCCATGTCACTGAGTGAGTAGATCTCCTTGCTATTCGAACTGAACACTTTGATCGAAAAGCTGAGATTGTCCCCCTCCTTCTTTATGCCTACATCTAATACTCAGGGAGGAAGATGCAAGTCTTGCACTCAAATTAGTATTTTATGTGACATGTAGTATGCATGGCTAAATTAGCATATGTCACACCATGGGTTTCAAACTACTCCCTAATTTTTTAGCATAATTTCAGTGCTAATATGTTTATTTCACATGTGAAATGGCAAACTTGCAATGACTGCATCTTTAATTGTTCTCAGATGGTGTCCAGGTTTTGAAATGTTCAAAAAAAATGTGGGGGTTTCAAAGAATACCACAGACAATCAAAGTTTGCCATCAGTAATTTTAATTTACACAATTGACAATTTACTTTTCAAATCTCATTTATACAACTGTAATTACAAATGGAACACTGCTTGACCCTCTTAGAGGAGTGTCCTTCAAAAGATCTTGACTCTCCCATTATTTATGAAACTATTTGCACTGTATACAATAAACCTTAAAGGGAGAAAGTATTCATATAAACGACTTTTTTGAGCTAGAGATGCAAACTCTTTGATGGATTATTTGCCTGTGAGAGATGCTTATGTTGAACACTCATGTTCAAGTGATGCATGTGACAATGAATATTTATATTAAGAATCTTTTAATTGCATCTCTTATTGCAACAGCATTTGTGTTCTGCCTTTGGTTTGGATCACCTGGACAAACTCCAGCATGAATGTGAATATCATTGAGCCATTGGTCATCAAAAGACTCGTTTCGCATCTCACAATAATTATGTAAAACACAACACGCTGCGATGACATTGCAGGCATTTTCAACTTTTAAGTCCAGTCTCTTCCCAATGCTTCTGAACCTTCCCTTCAATCGACCAAAGGCATTTTCAACAACTACTCTAGTCGTGCTGTGTTTTATGTTGAAACTGCGTTCCTCCGGGCTCAGATTTCCACGATCAATATATGGTTTCATCAGCCAATTGCTGAGAGTATAAGCTGAGTCACCTAATATCAGGGGAGGAACTTTTACACCAGATATCATCACCGACATGTCGAGCGGAAGAAAAGCTCTGGCACAACACAAGGCAAACAATGAAGAGTTCTTGAAGACACGTGCGTCGTGTACTTTACCCGGCCATCCAACACATATATCAAGAAATAGATAATTACAATCTACTAGCCCCTGAAGGATTAATGAGTGGAATCCCTTCCTGTTAACATAATCATCTGGACTTTGCCGAGGTCCAATGACTGGGACATGGCAACCATCGACTGCTGCAACCACCTGGGGAAAACCCGCGCGACTTTTAAAACCTTCAATTTTTTCGTGGACTTCATGTTGATTTTGGGGAACGTTTATATAATTGGGAAGAAGAACGGATCAAATGGCGTTGTCAATTATTATTCCGTCGAAAGGTCCAAAAGGTCTCAAAGTGACATCATTCACGATGGAAGCTAGTAAATAGAATTTCTTTAAAAGAAAAAAGTAGAAACATTCTGGCCACATTGGTATTTATTACGTTGTAGTGATAGGAACGTAAAAGGAAAGGATTTTATTGCTGCCAAAAAGGTGCATTAGATGATATGCAATTTAAGTCAAGACTCTCCCACAAAAGTCTCCCGTTGTCCAGAAAATTAGCTGATTAGCAAGAAAACAGTGGTTAGAAAATCTTTTCCTCTACCTCAGCAAACACATAAAAAAATTTAGAGGAGCTCTAAGGAAGTATTTCCTCAGAAATTTTTATACGAGAGGGGGAAAGAAATTCCCCGTTTACTTTTGAAAACATATTCCTTGAGGACCTGATCGCACCAGCTGCAAACTCCACGAATTTCCACAGATAAACCGGTTGTAACTTTTAGCCCTCAAGATATGGGAATTACCTGAAGGAGTAAGAAGCTAATTCAAAGATGTTAATGCGAACCTCAAAGACTTTTAGAAGTATAACTGAAAATCAAGATAAAAGAGTTCAATATAATTCGTTATATGATTGTGGACAAAACCTGGGTTTAAAAGCAGTGACAGTATTGGTAACCAGAAACAACTGAAAACAGATCACATGGCGTTGTCAATAATCATCCCGTCGAAAGGTCCAAAAGGTCTCAAAGTGACACCATTCACGATGGAAGCTAGTAAATAGAATTTCTTTAAAAGAAAAAAAAAGCAGAAACGTTTTAGCCACATTGGTATTTACTTCGTTGTAGTGATAGGAAAGTAAAAGGAAACGATTTTATTGCTGCCAAAAAAATTCATTAGTATTCTCTACTATATTTAGATAAACGACTGTAAATATATGAAAGTCTTATATTTGAACTGCAGATAAAGACGTGAATATGAAAGCGATCTCCGCAGTAATAAACACCACTTGAGCAGTAGTGAAAATAAGGCCTGAAAAAATTCAGTCCTGTATGGGAAGATCGTTTTCATATTCACTTCTCATATGCAGTTCAAATATATAACTTTCATATACTCACAGTCGTTTATTCGCCACTTCACGGGTTTATTTGGAACCAACATGATGACCAGCACCCAGTTGGTTTGTTAGCTCAGTTGGTTGACATTCTCAGCATTAGACTCCAATGAAACTAAGTTAGAATCAAGGAGATTACATTTGTCAAAAGTGACCATGATAGGGTCTATAATTGGCCACAGAATAAACTAAAACCGACAGGGTAGGGGTTCTGAGAGGCCAGAGGCACATACCCAGCAAAAATTAACCATATTACACCCCCCACCCCCACAGGGATGATATCAAAAATCCTGCGATCTGATTGGCTTCATGCTGCGTGCTATGGATTCTGTAATAATTGGTGATTGAAGTGAGTAGCCCACCAGTGTGACATTGTATAAAACAAAATAAAATGTGTTCTTGTTAGCAGATCCACTTACCGATAACTCCGACAAGTGACGGTGATGCCCCAAGCTCTCTGGCTCTGTGAGTAAATAGAGGCAGGAAGCAGCTTACAGCAAATAAGTCCTATTAGACAAAAGACGAGAACAATCTCTGGTCTCTTGATCAATGTTTGATGTATACTCATTTCAACAAGTCTGAGGAAGCGTACCAAAAATCCTCCTAGTACAAACAGTAGATCAGCGCGGTTCCCTCCTTCATCTTCATAAATGAAGATATAGTCATCTTTGGCCACTTCGAACCGAGAACACCATGCATGTTGAATTTGTTTAATTATCTTTCGCACAGAAACAAAATAAACCTTCAATTAGTCGTCTGAAGACTGGGCGCGTTTTGATTGGTTTGTCCTTCCACGTGATCAGACTACTAACTCGTCACGCAAAGACTTGACCACCAATAACGTAACGTGATGACGATAACGCAAGGTCTCTTTTCGAGTGAACTCGCGGAAAACATCACCAGTCGGGGTTGATTTAAAGATTCAAGTCCCTAAAGTGTAAATACGTGTAGGTAGCTAAGTTCATGTCCCTCAACGCCATCTCATTTTCGACTCGTCACGCAAATTTCACAACAAAGAACTGACTTTTCGATACTTTCGTATCCTTTTACCAGTTATAGATGGTGCTAGCATGATTTTTGGCATGATTTGGTAAAACGGACATAAAAAATAGCACTGCTGGCATAATCACCATATTTCTAGCTGTTTGGTCTCCAAGACTGGTTATGTCTTTGGGGAAGGGGGTTACTTCAAAAGTGCGTCGATCGTTCGTCTTCTGGAGAACTATGCGCACCTGAAGTAAAATCCCGTCAGTCTTAGTTTCCGCTTTCACGGGTAACAAAATGGCATTGAAAAGGAACGTTATGCTAACATCGAGATGTAAATTAAGTCACTGCTCTCAGCACTAGGGTAATTATTCACACGAAACCATATTGGAGTAGTATCCGCGCGTAAAACCATAGAAAGGCTATGTTACAGTTTATAGTAAGCATCTTTGCTTTAAAAAAGTCACCTTCCAAGTGAACATTTATCGAAATTTATCGAGTTCAGGCACAAACCTAACTGATTGTGAATCGCTTCGATTGTTTATGATCCGGTGTAAACCAAGAACTGTGATAAAATTCAATTATCTTACGTAAAACTTTGTGACTGGCATGGATCGTTCAGAATTAAGCGGACGAAAACAGTCCTGTGCTTCTCTGACAAAAGAAAACTTGTGGAATTCACTGCCGCATAACGTTAATTTCAATCAGTCGAAAAAACTAGCGGTCACATCAAATGTTTTCTGAGATATTTTCACTCCGAGGCTAAAAACTAATCAGATGCGGAAGAAAAACTTGCTAATAAAGATCGTTGCGTTATAATGCAGATGTGTGTTGGAAGGCTAAATTTTATGAATTTTGCCTGGATACTATCACATCACATCATATCACCTTTATTTCACCTCGGATTTACAAGAGTAGCTGTATATCTAATTTCTCCGAGAAAGAACAAAAAAAAAAAAAAAAACAGAAAATATGAATAAAAATAAAATCGTAGATTTTATACAGTACATTAACTAATATCTACATAAGTAACAATTGCATTGATGTTCGAAAGAAATTTGGCATATTTTAGTTCTGAACTTATTCAAGGACGTTAATATATTTTTGTTAATATGTTTTGGCAGACTATGCATGCGTTTATTATTTTTTGAAGTTGGATGTTTACCATTAATGTAGATCTCTCAGTGATTTTCCGTAAGCGTGGCTTTTGAGATAAGAGCAGCATTGCATGAGTCGCAATTTCCCAACCATGGTCATCTCTAGATCAAGTTCTATATGCACGAGTTTAGCATAGATATTCTTTGATTTTATTTCCTTTTTCAAGTTTTCAAAAACGAGATAATTTTTAGCATAATTTGGAAAAAAATAGACCAGTGCTGGCAGGATATGATATGCTACTTTTACTAGCACAATCTATAGGGGCTTAGTTAAGCTACTAAGCCGGCGGTTTTTGGCGAGCGTGGTAAACATGATGATAAAGGAGCCGCGAAAAAAAGTAGAACTCTGTCTTTCTTTCACGGCTTCACCGTTAGGAAGCTTGGTATAGTATCGACGACAAACTGAGTTGTTATTCAGTGTATCGCGCAGTTAGAAAACCGTGTTGTTAATATTAAAATTTGTGTTTTAGGTAATTGTCCTGTTAGACCGCATGTTTTACATTTCTTTTACATTTATTTATAATTCTCGCAAAAAAAAAAAAAGACAAAAACAACAACAACAAAAAAAATTAGCAAAATAAAGACTTTCTTAATTGAATCTCAGCCAAGGTACATTCTTAGTATGCTCTTAAAATTTTCGGCTAATTAATCGCAGCCTACACATTCTTAAAAGAAGGTTCTCATAAAACGAATAGTAGACGATCGTCATTTGATAGTGCTCTATCATTATAATTATCTATGACCATACTATGAAACCTTTGCATGGAAAGAAATCCAATTTTCATATATGCACTCGTTTTCTTTCCTTATCCTCAGAGTTGCCTCTCGCTCATTCCATGTTTTAAAAGCTGATTTAGTGAGCCATTTGACATGGCGGCTTTTCGTGCGTGCAGGACGACATCTTTTCGATGGCTTCATTATCGCGATAGTGGAATGAAAAAAAAACGCAGCAGAAAGATGATAAACAGTTAAATAATTTTGGGACAAATACCGGGTTACATAAAAATTATCTCTATCTTAGCCAATCAAAACTTGGTAATTTTTCCTTCTGTATTGTGATTAAGTATCATTATTAAAAAGGACGAAATAGAGCGATACCGTTCTGCCGGCCATACTAGTGCGTTCCAAAGGTTGTCGAGACATTAAGGTAAAAGGGAATGATTTTAATGCCGTCTGAAAAAAAAAATCAACGCTCTTCAGTATGTTCAGATGGGCTGCATTATATAAGGATTAAAAAAGGGCTCTTAAACATCCGATTACATGTCATGTCAATTGTTCATGCCGGCATAATTTTAAGCATAATATTGACTAAAATTCTTTAGCATAAACGTGTTGAACTGCATTTCTAGTACTTTTATACTGAAGTTTTCAAGGTCGTTATCAGCATATGCACATATGAGAGATGACCTTCCCTGGAATTGTGATGGACCTCTTTGTCACGAGACTTGCCAAGGGAGTTCAATGTTGCCTTTCATTGGTTGGCAATGTGACCGTAATAACACGCGCTTGAATACGGTGCAAAACCGGGAATTTTTCTGGAGGCTAAAAACTCGAGGTTTGTTTTTACGCAAGTTACTTCTACTTAAATGAATTAATGGGGTGTGTAGATTTGTTGGATTTTCGTGAAAATTGGCTAGATTGTTCTTCAGATATTAACACACAATTTTCTCTCAGCA